AACTTATAAATGAATGAACAAATGAACGAATGAACAAAAGGCTGTGAAGAGACGCAAGGCGTTGAGGTCCGCAATGCCGGTAACCCCGCTGTCACATCCATGTGAAACGGGGAGAAGCTGAAAAGACCTCCCTCTTGCAACAAAGCCCACAATGCAATCCTGTTTGACAAACACACACACAATGAACCTTCACACAACCAAGGGGTGGAACGCAGCAGAACAGAGGGATAGAAACCACAAAAGACAAATAAGTCAGCGTGACCCACCACACGAGTCGCCCCTCCGTCACGGCACAAAAGTAACAAGAAGAAAGAACGAAAGAAAAAAAAACCAACAACAAAATACAAGCGTTGTTCCTGCTGCATTTATCAAGAGAGATATGAAGAAGGCCACAAATAATATTAAGGAGCCATGACCCAAAGGTGCTAAAAGCTGAAATTAAGAAATAATATGGAATAATAATACAAAAAAAAAAAGAAATAAAAATCGTAAATTTACTCTGACAGGGCACATCATCCAATAAGAAAACAGTTTCTCGTTATTGGGGCGGAAGCCATCACGACGCACCCCGTCAAGAATATTGCCTCTACGGCTCTGATTCCAAGTTGTTTTCATTGGCGTTTGTGTGCCTCCGCTCCAGCTCAATCCTCCTTAGGTGTACCCGCATCATAGGCGCAGGCACCCACTCTGTTTGCTGCTGCAGAAGCAGACGAATGCCGTTTGCCATGCTTCCTTCCTCTAGCTTCATCCGTTTCTCAACGCGCGTCAGTACCTCCTGGCAAAAACACTGAAATGCGGCAGCCCGCGCCACCTCTGCACGTCGAAGAAATTGTGCTTCAACAGCCTCCTGCAACTCCTGCAGCTCAGGAAACCATGTCGATGTGGATAACCTATCCAAAGAAATGCCCGACGGCCTAACATGTTGTTGATTGTCTAAGCACGGATAATTGAGACCGGCCTTGCTGCCGTTAAAGCGCACCGCAAGAAGGTTGTGATTCGCTGGCCCCCTACTGCTGCAAGTACCCCCCACCGGAGTCACGCCGCTGTAATCACTGAGCTGCTGCTCTTCGGTAAAAATCATGACAACCGTTTTTAGGTTTGCATGCGCCACCAAGCTCAGCTCGGCTCTAAACTGAATATGCCGAAGGTGACGATAGTAGGTAACGTACACGAGCAGAGAATTCAGTAATGCGCACACTGGCAGCGTAAAAAGTATGTAGAGCTTCTGCCGCACCGAGAAATTCGGTGCGCTGTCGTAGAAGATGCCGGCAGCTGGGGGTGGCCCAAGCGATTCCCCGGGGTGTTTCTCGGGGTTGTAAATAAACAGCGGAGGCACAGCCGTGACGAGGAGCAGGACAAGAAACACCCCGGCGTTCGTGACCATAAACCACGGAAACATTCCGACTACGTAGCTGTGGCCGACATCCCAACAGGAGACAAGTAATATAGTAAGAAAAATAGAGAAATAAAGAAATCGCAAACGGAAGATTGAAAGTAATTTGACCGATAAGAAAAACAATACAAAAAACGCGCCATGCGCAAAAAATGGAGAAAATAAATAAATAAATATGTTTTTTTTTTATTGTAAAGAGGCAGGACAGCTCAGACACACATAAGCACACACACACACACACACACACACAGAGAGAGAGAGAGAGAGGCGTTTGTAAGAAACAGAAGGAGTGGAAAATCATGAACAGCAGAGTTTGGTCACTGCTTTTAACTCATGTGTCACTTGACCGCCGTGCCCCTTCCCTGTGCCCTGCTACACCGGCAACAGCAGCTCGTCATCAAAGGTAGGGTAGTGGACGCCGTCACAGCTAGAGGACCGGAACGTTGGAAGTGCAAGCCACAGGAGCAGCACAACCTTCGTCATGGTGCCCCCATTACAGGTCCACTGAAGCACCGGATCATCCCTCGTCTCGAACAGCATTAATATATTGCGCCAGCGACCAAGATCATACGGATTGCGAAACGGCACCATCATGTTTTGCGACTGCCTTTCCTTCTCTTCCAGAATAATGCGCTCAATCTGCGTCTCGTTTTTCAGAATATGAAGCAGGTTCCAGCCAACAAAAAAAATCATGCAAATAAAAATTGTCCCACACAAAATCCACGCAAAAAACAAAGGAAAACTTGACAGACGGTAGCTGCAAGGACCATATATGCTTAGCTTGGCTGCACTGTGCCAACGTAACCGCACATACGCAATGGAGATCAGAGTAAAGGCAATACCTGTGGACACAAACAAATACATGACAAGCAGAAAAAAGTAGCGTTGATTTTCAGCATCGACGCAGTTGTTGATCCAGGGGCAGTGATGGTCCATCTTCGTCACACATCGGTTGCACACGCGGCAGTGGTGCTCACGGGGGGCTCTATAACGGCGACACTTTCCACAGTGACGTGCAGGCGCATCTAACAAGCGATAGCGTTGCCGCAACGGCAGCAACTCTCCCTCAACCGCCAACCGCCTCGTCTCCTCCGCATCTACGCAGGGGCCTCGAAACGACGCCGCCGCCACGTAATTGAACAAAATAGCAAACGATAACACACTACACGTGAACCACAGGAGCATAAAGTACGGGGTCCCCGGTGTCGCCAGCAACGGCAGGGCGATGCGGGCGAAGGTCACAGTGCATCCAACGATCAGCGAGATACCGCAGAAAAGAGTGACAATACCACCCACTTGCAAGCCCATGTACGCCACCGCGCCACAACGGTTAAGGTGCCGCACAAACGGATGAAGCAGGGACTCCATTGCAACCAGCACAAACACACCCACACACACAGTGCAATGATGATAAGGCCAATGAATCAATCGCGGGACGGCCCCTTTTGACGTTAACGTAGGTGGTGAGAGGTGTCAACGATAAATAAATAAAAAAAAAAAAGACTGCAGCCGCGACCCCCCACAAAACGAGGAGCACCAAGTGAATAGAAATGGAAGACACACACACACACGCAGAAAAAAGATAAAAATTGGCACACAGACAAATACAAACAAAATTGCGTGCACCTCATTTTCACCTTTTGTACGTGCAGCTCTTCTCCTGTGGTCCCTTTTACTTCGATGCGCTTCAAACACGTGACAAACGCTGCGAGGGCGCACGCTTAGGCGGGCCTCTCGACTTGAGCTTCGCTCGCAAACGCCGGATGTGCTCTCGCATGTATCAGTACTTTTCGCGGCTGAGGTGGAAGAGGTAGTCATACGGGTAAATGCCACCAGAGTAGCCGTCCGAAAAAACTAGGCAGACGGCGTAATTGCCAACGGGAACAACATCGGTAATGGTGATGCCGCGGCGCCCATAGACAATTACATCGGCGCCAATGGCGTCTGTGCTCGGGGAAAACACCCTAAGAAACTCGGCAAGAAAACGTGTCCGGTGCTCTTCAAGGGGATTCCCCTTAAAGCCTCTACGACTCACGGTTTCCGGAGCCAATTCCACGGTTTGCTGCGAGCTGGCATAAGTAACAACACCACCATCTGCAGCGGCGGCATCCCTCACCGTCAATGCCTCCTTTTCTTTTTTGGGTGCCACGGCACGAAGCGCAGTCACGGGCTAGACGAGGTCAATGCACAACTTGTCCTTGGATACAACAGCCTGCGAAGGCACGGGGTGAGCCCGTAGACTTCGCTGCAAGGCTAGTCGTTCCGCCAGATTTTCATGCATGGACGTCCGTTGTGGATATGGACGACGCGGTTACATGATGCATCGCTCGCTGAGTGGCATGAGATGCGTGTCCGTTAATGAAGCCACATGTGACGCCACGGCAGACCCAAAGCGACTCATAATGGACGTGAATCGCCTCCGCTACACAAACAACGTCCCCATCGTTGCCTGTTGTAAACAACTCGCGTAAACTAGCCGCCCACAAGGCATGAGTGCAGAAAATAATCACTTGGGCCCTCTGCACTACTCAATTTGTTTTGTTTATGTTTTTCCGTTTGTTGTTTGGCACTCGTCGTGGCGCTGCAGCGCCCCCCTCCCAAAATGGTTACGACAACTGGTACTACACGTGTGCGACGACGCACATCATCCGTGAGTGAGCGAAAAAACAGCACAAACTCAGGCACTGCACATACTGACACAGAGAGTAGAGGTGTATACGCCTAAAGAGAAACATGGTTCCCCCCTCCCCCTACTCGCATCCACCCCTCCATTGCTACTTTCACCCTCGTCAGGAAGGTATCGCGTTTGATCCTTTTTTTCTGAGGGGATAGAGTTGTGTGTTCTCACCCCCACCCCGCATAGCGTCATAACAAGACCGCAAATTGAGGCACACCACAACGTGCGCCTCATCGCTTCCATGTGCGTTCCTTCAGCCCAATCGCCCGCTTCGGATAACGCACCGCATCCTATTCCGAGGTACCCCACAGTAGCCTCCGCCGCAAGACGTGGTCGAACCAGAGATCACCGAGTCACCGCGGGAGCATGTAATACAGACAGTGAAAAAACGCTCGTGGTAGCCAACGGCCCAGCTTCATCCCAATACGGCACACCGCCTCCTACTTTACAGGAACAAGAATGTCAACCTCCCCCTCCCCCGCATCAAGGCCCTCAGTTAGCCCTCCCCCGCAGCGATAAGAGTAGATGAGGCAAGAGGAGACAAAATATTGTGCGGCGTAAACATGTTACTGCCGCTTTTTTGTTGTTCACGCTGTTCACACCTCTTGTTCGCCCCTGCGAAGGCCACCTTAGTTGTCGTTGCCTCACAAGACGTAAGAAGGAAGCCGTCTGTGAGGGCACCTTCTCAATCAGTGCAACGGCATCAGCCCCGTTCAAAAGATGGGGAAAATTGCGACGTAACTCACGCCACTGCACGGAGTCAAATCTGCAAAACAACACTTTGTTCCACGCAAGCCTCACCGAGTCCACGCCCTGCGTGAGACGGAATAAACTAAAGTACGAGAAGTTGCGCCCCAGCACGTACTGGACCCGGGCCTGGCACATGAGGCAGTGACCATCAAACACCACGAGGTTCCGTGGGAACTTGCGCAAAATGCCTTGATACAACCGCCCGCAGTAACGTCAAGACATGGCTCTGCGCCGATAATGAACGGTGGAAGGGAGGCACACTGCAACCTCCCAGACACAACAATACTGTACTTTCCTCGTATCATGAGAAACCAATAAACAAGATACAAACAAGTAGGCAAGGCAGGAAACCTCACGGGGGCAACACGTGTGATGACAACAGTGGCGGCAGCAGCAAAAGGAAAAAAAAACCTCAATTCATTTCGAAAAAAAGAAGACCCATACAATCATGCATATATATATATATATATATATATATATATATA